CCCTAAAGCCCTAAAAGCCCTAAAACCCTAAAGCCCTAAAGCCCTAAAGCCCTAAAGCCCTAAACCCTAAACCCTAAAACCCTAAAACCCTAAAGCACTAAAACCCTAAAGCCCTAAAGCCCTACAAGCCCTAAAGTTAAAGCCCTAAAGCCCTAAAAGCCGTAAACGCCCTAAAAGCTCGAAGCCCGATACCGAAACCACCCTAAACCCTAAAATCCAGACCGTTCAGTGCCAGGTCACACCGGCTGAGGTCGACAAGGCTTGTGACGAAGCTATGGAAGCGCTTCTTAGGAGCCCAATAGGTAAACTTTAAGCTGTTTTGGTATATTAAGGGTTAGGGTTTAGGGTTTAGGGAACTTTTTTGATATATTAAAACCCCTACGAAACGAAACGTTTAGCCTTTTTGGGCCAGGGTGCTGGACAGCTAAGGCTTCAGCGCTGGAGACAGGTCAGACAAGCGTATCAAGATGCCTGATGTTCAGGGTACTGTTGATGATAGAGGTCCTGCATTACCATCAGGACCCTAAACTATGGGAATTATGGTAAAATCCTTATTGTGGGTAGTGCAGGATTTATATCATCAACCGTAGCGTTCTATAGCAGGGTCCCTTCGAGGATCCTTTTTTATAAGGGTGCCGCACTATATTGGATTACCTTTACACGGGACCGTAAGTTAGAGAACTACCCCTTTAGGGTTTGGGGTTAAAAGGGGTTAGGGTCTATAGGCTTTGTAGGGCTTGCAAACCCTATTCGAGTCATGCAGGCCCCGAAATTGATTGCGATGATGTTCTTTGTCGAGTGCGGCATACAAAGCATCCTAAGGGTCCATGTTCCCATACCGTATGTAAGCACTTTTGCCCAAGAGTTACGATGTAGGGATGTTGCGATTCCTTCAAGGACCAGTAAACCCTAAACCCTAAACCCTTATGTAGGTACATGGACCCTTAGGCACATAAAAGGAAGTCCGGTAGGCATGCTAGCATGCAGCGCACTGCACCGACGAACGCTGTGAGATGATCAAAACATCCGGTCCGACTGCGCGCTTTTAGGATTTTGTGACGTGTTAGTTGCAGCAGCTCCCTCCGGAGACTAGCCTTCACTGCCACTGTGTTCCGGCATCACCACTGGCTTCCGCGATGATGATTTTTCCACGTCCTGTCACTAGCACAGTCTTTGCAAGTTTCCTGCCACTTAGGCTGTAGACCAAAGAACAGAGATACCTCCAAACATGTAGGCTGCCCCCCTTTTTCTAGTCCTAAGTAGTATTAGGGAGACCCCTTGAAGGGGACCCTTCTGAACCCTACTTGTGGCTCTCTCTCTTAAAGGGGACCTTATTGAGAGGGTCTATATCCCCAAAGTGTCCCCCTAATCCTAAACCCTAAACCCTAAACTATATCCACAAGGGGTCCCCTAATCCAAACTCCTAAACCTAAAGGCCCTAATCCTGACTCCCCCCTTTAGCGCACCCACAGGTTTTTAGCGATCGTCCTGTTGCCGCTCTGGGCGCCTTGCCAAACTTCTCTCCATCGCCGGGCACCTGCAGGGCTTGCCGAACTCTGGTGTAGGAGCCTAAACAACTACCAATACTATCTTCGGGGGGTTCCTTATTAGAAGTAGAGCATAATATACCCCAAAACCCTATTCTAAGTATGTAGGCCCCAATATTAGTGGAGCCTCGTGCTTCAGGAATCCGAAGAAAAATCTGCAGAACAAGGTCCTGCACGTGCCATCAGAAGGAATGCCATCAGAACACCCACGGTTCAGGATACTTTTCGTACCGCAGGAACGAGATAAGGTTATGACATATATATATATGTATGCATGCATGCATGCATGCATGCATGCATGCATGCATGTATGTATGTATGTATGTATGCATGTATGTATGTGGACATATATGTTGATGTCTATAAGCGGCTGCCAGAAGCGAAGCAACCCTGGCATGCTCTTCATTATATCCTCTAGCCAGGTATTCTGCAAGAGACACCCCAGCCGTCACCCTGCTCCCGAAAAACAGATTCCCAAGTGGTTTTTTGGTGGGGTTTAGAAAGAGATCCGGTGTTTGGGTTCAATGCAAAGTCCCCTTTGTTGTCTCAGGGCTTTAATACCGAGATCCTTATTGTTGAACCTTTATTGGGGTTTAGGGTTTAGGGTTTAAGGGTTTAAGGGTTTAAGGGTTTAGGGGTTTAGGGGTTTAGGGTCTAGGGGTTCAGGGTCTAGGGTTTAGGGGTTTAGGGTTTAAGGTACCGGCTTCCTTTACTAGGGGAGTGAGCCTGGGTCTACATCCCACCCGAGAGCCAAGTGCCCAGCAGGAATTGGGTCAGGGGTTAAGGCGATTCGGGTTTCCTTACTAGAGGAGGAACTGAACCCTAAACCCCACCTGCAACCGAAGAGACCTACCTTTTTTTCGGGTTCCTCATTAGAGTTTCTATATATAGCTCCTTAAAAAAAGGGCAGGTCTTTGCGGTTACAGGTAAGCCCTAAACCCAGCCTTCACCCCTAAACCCTGAACCCTAAACGCCTAAACCTAAACCCTAAACCCTCAACTCCCCAAACCTTTGCAGTGAAGAGACTGCTCCTCCAGAATCCCGAAGCGCTTCCTTCCACCCAGAACCATGAAGCAGGATGATCCCGAAAGCGCGGTATGCTTCAGCTTTTCCTAAACCCTGAACCCCTAAACCCCTAAACCCCAAACCCTAAACCCCATAGTCCTTGTCCTTGAAGCCCCTTCCTGGGTTTGGGGGTTTAGGGTTTGGGTTGTGGGTTTACAAGCCCCAAACCCCGAAAAGAGCCTTGTCCTTAAACCCCGGCGCACCGAGCCTCCCGCGCCCCAGGTCTGAATTCAAAGGCCTGACATCCACGAAAGTTCGGGTGGATGGCAAGGACTGATGAGTTGGGAGTTTAGGGTTGGCACGATTTTTTTTTTAGGGTTTAGGGGTTCAGGGTTTAGGGTTAAGGGTGCCGAGGGTGCCTCAAGACCGTGGGTTGTCAGTGGAGTCTAAACCTGGGTTCATTTCGAAAGGCTTGGTACTGCGCTGTCCGTGGTGTGTTTTTGTTGAAGATATCCTTCCAGGAACGACGCTTCAGGATGTCATGTATACGGTCTTGCTGCAGGAGTTTACTAGCAAAGGGATCGCCGTTTTAACTTCAAGACCCGCTACATACTTCTAAACCCTAAACCTCTAAATCCCTAAACCCTAGACCCGTAAACCCTCAACCGCTAAACCCCTAAACCCCGGGGTTTAGGGTTTAGGGGTTTAGGGTTTACGGATTTAGGGTAAAACGGTAACCCTTTCACAACCCTATCTAAACGGAAGCCCTCGATAAATTCAGAAGCCCGCAACGCTTACTCGAAAAAACCCTATGCCCTGAACCCGAGGGATAACACTGAACCCTGAATCCAATTTCCGGTACTGCCCTACGGCAGTCACTGGAGAACAGGAATTCAAGAAGAAAGCCGGCTCCTAGAGATCTTCAGCCACCTAAATCCTCGGCTTAGCCAGGACTTGGTGTTTCGAGTTCAGGGTATGCCACCCTAACCCATAAATAAACAACCAAAAGAAACAAGCAAGCAGATTCGTGTTTCGAAGACCTCGTAACAAGAACCCAGTAATCGAGTATCTTCTCGCCCCGGATTCGCCAACCCCTAAACCGAAAATTTATTGGAAGCCCTCGACCCATCTCGACACGAAGCAAAGAACGGAGCCATGCCCATCCAACTACAGCCCTGGATCGAACACCCCCCAACCCTAGACCCTGCCCATAGGCTCCATTGTAGTTTCTTTTTGTGTTTATAGTTAGGATCCTCTAGGTAATTCCCAAAAAGGAACTACAATGGAGACTATGGGTAGACTCTCGACCATCAACCAAGAACCTTCAAACTCATCAGCCGAAAGCGCTAAACCTTGAACCCCTAAACCCCAAACCCTAAACTCTAAACCCTAAGCCCTGAACATGTAACCTCAACTCCTTTTGAGTCTAAACCTGAATTCCTATTCCCTATGTAAATCCCTATATAAACCCTACACCCTAAATCCCTAACCCGAAACTTAAAACCTAAGTCTAAGACCTTCAGTCACCCGCCTGAAAAGGAGGAAGAGGTCTTTCTCGATTCTGAGGGGGGTCCTCTGATGCTTCGACGCCGGGATCCTATGAGCTTGTGGGGACAGAGGGTTTTGGGCTTTCCGGGGCTTCAGGCTTAGAATATTAGACTTTAGCGAAATTTGTTTAGGGTCCAGGGTTTAAGGTTCGGGGGCTGAAGGTTTAGGGAGTATGGTTCAGGGTCTAAGGTTTAGGACTTCAGAAGCCTAGGACACTCATTCGTTTCTAGGACTTCTAGGACTCTTAGTAGTCTTGCTTATCAATTTGTTCATTGTCGGTTTGGTTGGCATTCTTACTGTTACCATTGCGGTCAGCATTCTTCTTCTTACTCTCATTAGTACTAATTATTGTTTCTTGTTATTGTTCGTTATTAGGGCAATGAGGGCTTAGGGTTTCTTGTTATTAAGTATGGAGGAAGAGGGGGCATACGCCATGGGCTTATGCCGCTGGTTCACCCCTGGCAAAGCGGCCTGAAGCCCTACTTGAGGGCCGTTCTCAACCCCGGCACCTCTTCCTACCTTTTTAGGGTTCCTCATTATGGTTTCTATATATAGTTCCTTGAAAAGGTAGGTCTTTCGGGCTACAAGTAGGGCTTCTAAGCCCTAACTGCTAGACTTCTCATCCCTCAAGAAACCCTATAAACCTTAAAGCCCAAGCCCTAAACCGAACCTGAAAGGAGCACCGTATGTCCTATCTCATACAGCCCAAATCTTGAACCTTAAAGGCCACCTACAGCCGTCAAGCCCTAAGCCTAAGCCAAAGCCCCTAAAACCCCTAAACCCTAAACCGTAAAACCCTAAACCCTGAAACCTAGACCCCCAAACCCTAAATTTAAGCCTAGAATCCTAAACCCCTGATTGCAGGTGATGGATCCACGACCTTTGCCTACGTCACATACCGCGAGGTCCCAGTCCGTTCTGAATCACCCTGAAAGAGATTAGGGTTTAGGGTCTAGGGCGTTGGGTTTAGGGTTTAGGAGTTTAGGGTGTAGGGTTTAGGGTTTAGGGTTGTAGACCCATTGTAGACTCTCCTGAGGGGAGTTTGCTGGGCCTACACATAGGGTTCTGTTATTGTATTCAAAAAGCAGGCTGTGCAGGCCTACAAGGGGTTTCGGTAGGGTGCGGACTCGCCAGGGTTTCATTGTCGCGGCTTTCTGCTTAGGAATACGGAGTTGGGAGATTGGTGCTCTGGGTGCTTTGTGGCTAAGGGCTTATATTTCAGCTTAAAGATGCGGTAAGGTTCCAGAGCTTTGGCTACCGGAAACGTAGTACTCCCTAACCCTCCAGGTACCTACTATAGAGGGTACTAGAGCCCCTAAGGCCTTATATAGTAGGCACCTGGAGGGTTAGGGACTTGTTCTGGGAGAGCTCATTT